AGATTTAGTGCTTTTATATTATTTATAACTTTAAGAATAACTTATATAACTATATAGAACACTAGTAATTAAACAGACTAATTAGATTTAAGACTATACTACTAGCTATAACTAAAAAAGCTTAAAACTCCTAATTTATTTATCCTAGCGTAAATAACTACTTTAGCTACTAGACTTAGGCGTACTTATAAGTTATACCTATTTAAAATAGTTTTATACACTTTATTTTAACTAAACTTAATATACGTTTTCTTAACTAGCTTCTTTAAGAGGATATAGATTAGTTCCTATAATAGTAACTAGCAGCCTTTATAATCTAGAATAGCTACTAAGAATAGTAAGGCTAAAGCTACTAAAAAGTAAAAGCTATCTTTTATAATTACTATAACCTTTAGGGCTAACTACTTTAAAGAGATTAGATAAAGAGGAATAAGATTACTATAGTGTTAGAGGTTATAACCTAGGACTTATTACTAGTCTATAATATTATAGTAGTTTTAATTAGCTAGAAATATTCTACTAATCTAAATATAGCCTTAGTCTTAGTTCTTTAGTTACTTACTACTTATAAAGTAATTAAGACTTTTATACACCTAGTCCTCTTTTTACTATTTATTAATTATTTTAAACACTTTATAAGAATAATTATTAACTAATAAGATAATATAGTCTATTAGTATAACCCTCTTTAAGAGGCAAGCTAATCTAAGGTAATCTTTATTAATAATATCCTAGCGCTCTAAAGATTCTACTAAGACATAAAGGCCTTACTATATATTAAGAATCTTATTAACGCTAGTACTTATATTATTAATATAGCCTAATAGCCTAGCTTATAAAAGTATAGTCTTTATATCTTAAAATAATTCTAAATAGTAGTCTAGTATAGTAAATTACACCTAACTAAGAATCTTATTTTCTAAAGTAATAAAATAAAAAGTATACTAAGTAATTAAATATATATATATTAGATTTAGTAGATTAGCTATAAGTTTTACTATAAAAGTAACTAAGTTAATAATACTATATATAATACTTTAAGAATATATCTTAAAGACGTCTATAGTTAATATAGAAATATTTATATAAAGGTATTAGTAAGCACTAAATTAGACTATATAATTATTAAGAAGCTATATTTAAGGCTAGGCTTTATAGTATTAATTAAATAAAGTATACTAACTAACCTTTAGATCTTTAGCCTATATTATTATTAATTAGTTACTAGCTAGAGATAATGCTTACTACTTAGACTATTATTAGACTTTATACCTTAAAACCTACTTAATTAGTCTGCCTTAGTAATAAATACTATTAAAAAAAAGTCTAATTCTAAGTATACTTTTATAAGTCTTATACCTCTTAGTTAAATATTACTAGGTACTTTATAACTAATTCCCTAGACGCTTAATATAACGCTATAATTAAAAAGACTTATATATTTACTTATAAACCTATATTTACCTTTTATCTTATTTAGGCTAACTTTATTATTAGTTACTAGAACTAGGCCTTTAGCTTAGGTTTTACTTAAGATTAAAGACGTTATAAAGAAGAACCCTCTAACTTAGGCTTAACTACTTTAGAAACCCTTATTAATTAAGAAATATAAAAACTTATACCTAAAAGAAATAACTTCTTAAGATCTAAACTTATAGTTAGGATAAGTAAATTATAAGTTAACACTTAGTAAGTTAGAGCTTAATTAGTAAGAAGCTAATAAGTTACTTTAATAAAAAGCTATAAATTACTATTATTAACTACTATACTACTAAAATAAGCTTTTTAAGAAACTAGTAATTAATAAGTATATATAAAAAAAATAAGTTAATTAATATAATAACCTAATTAATAAGTTAGCTTATATAATCTCTATATATACACCTTAAGTACTACTATTATTAAGCTAGGATTAAAAGGGCTATAATTATAAGGATATAGGGCTTTAATAGGATTATATAAAAGAGGTATATAAGCAGGAGGCAGAGGCTAAAAAGAAGAATAAGAAAAAGGGCTAACGCTAATTTACTATAAAGGTAGTTATATAAGGGCTAATCTTAAGGATAATTTCTCCTTAAGAGGACTTATAAAGAAGAAATTAAGGGATAATTAAAGTAAGGTAAGGTAATTAGCCTAAAGTAAAGTAGTATATATACTTAATTAAAAGATCTTAATTCTAATTAAGTATAAGGATATAAGCTAGTATTAATAGGTTTAGAGATAAATATATAGAATTTATCTTTTATACTTATACTTACTTTCTAATTAAACTAAAGCCTTTTTATAATTTACTTTTAATTATAATAATATAAGATAATTAGAAGTAATTACCTACCTAATTAAAGTATAATTATACTTAATCCTATAGTTTAATACTTATAATTAATATTAATTCTAAGTAAATTAAGATAATTTATATACTAATTAATAAGAAATCTTATATTACTTTTAGTAGTTATAGTGTTCTATATAGTTACTACACTACAAAAGTCCTTTATACCTTATATGCTTTTATTACTAACTTAAAAAGTATAGCTTTATATCCTTAAGACCTCTATATTATTTATAACTTTTATTACTACCCTCTTTATTCTATAGTCTAAAGCCTTATCTCCTTATATACCTTAGAGCGCTAGGCCCCTCTAGCTTACCTCTACTAGTACCTCTATATATAATATCCTTTAGTATAGTATATTCTTATCTACACTAAGATTAATTAGTGCCCTCCTTTTTTTCTATATATTACTTATTTTAGTATAGAAATCTACCTTAAAGTAGTAGTATAGTCCTTTATTCTAAAGGAGCTTAATACTATTAACCCTTATTAGTACTAAGGCGTACTATCTCCTTAAGTGTTATAGTTATTTATACTTATAGTACTTCTTTTTATTATACCTAGCTAACTAGTACTTAGGCTTCTTATAGTTATAATAAGTAAGTAGTCTTTAGGTCTTCTCTAGCTAAGGTGTTATACCTTTTTTTTTTTTAACCTCTAGCTTTAATATAAGTATACCTACTAGCGTTATAGCTATTAGTATTAAGTATATACTAGTAGCTTTAGTTAAGGAGGCGTTTATAGTTATTAGTTATACTATTACCCCTTAGTAGCTTTTTTTTTTCTAACTTTACTTTAGCTATCCTCTTAATACCTCTCTTATATAAGTCTTAGTAAGTATCTTTACTTTTTTTACTATATTATCTAACTTTTAGTAGGTAGCTAGTAGCCTCTTAGTAAGTATATAAGTCCTTAGGTCTAAAAGCACCTAGTTTAAAATATAAACTACTTACTACTTTTCTATTTAAGGGTTAAAGTACTTCTCCTTAACTATTTTATACTTATTAATAAATTATTAGTATAACTAGCCTAAGGCTTATTATATAGTATCTTACTTTATAGTAGCACTAAAAGCCTATATATTATTATTAGTAATATTTACTTTTAGTTAGTTTTTTATAACTTCTTAAAGCACTTTACTAATCTTACTTTTATAATAAAAACCTATATACTTTTTTTATTTATATACTAAGTTACTTTTTAGTATAGTATTAGTATATCTTACCTTATTATTATTAGTTATAAACTTATTTTTTACTATATTAAAATATATTTCTAACTAAAATAAGAATTCTTATAGTTTATTTTAGCTTTTTTTTTTATACCTTAAGGTAAGTAATTCTTTTAAAAGTATATTAATATAAAGTTACTTAGTCTTTAGTTAGAGATTAGTAGTTATTTTTATTTTCTTTTATATATCTTTTATAGATATACTACTTTAAAAGGCCTTAATTTAATTAATTATTTTCTTTTTTTTTACTTTTTTTACTTCTTCCTTTAAAAAGGCCTTTAGCTTTTTCTCTAATAGCTTACTTAAGTTAATAGTATACTACTTATTTACTAGTATAAACTTAGTTATATTAGGCGTTAGTTATTTTATTATAGCGCTCCCTTATTACTAGGCTATAGTTTAAGATCTAGTAAGCACTATTACTACTTTAGTAGTTAATACACCTAAGGATAAAGAGATATTAAAACATATTAGAGGTAAGGATAGTATTAAGTAAAGAAGTTAGTAATAGGTGTAGTTAGGGTTTAATTATAATAATTATTTTAATATACCTCCTCTAACCTTTATTTTTTATAGAGTTTTCCTTTTTTATTATTCCTTTAGTGACTAGTTTATTTAGTCCTGGTCCCACTCTAGTGCCCCCCTGGGGCCCCGCTCTAGGCACCTAATACATATCTTCTAGTTGTTTAATAAAGATAAATAACTAAAAACAGGGGTATACTAGAATAGCCTTTAGTAAAGGGGTTTATAAGAGCTTTGTTTTAATAGATAAAAGAAATAAAGTAAAGTAGTAAAGGGGTTTACTACTGTAATAGTTATTTGTTATGTTTTGTTACTTAAAGAGTAAATTAGGTGAAGTTATTAGATATTAGCCTTAGGCCTACCTAGTAGAAACTAACTAGCTATAGTTAAAGTCCTTGTAGCGGCCTTGCCTTAGACTTTTTCTTCTACTTAATCTATTGCAACATAAGAATTGTAAGTTTAATTACCTCGTTTTCTTCCCTTTTAAGTTGAGCTGTTATTATTAGCTGAAAAAAACAAAAAAAACGTGTATACTAACTAATTATCAGCAATAGAGCGCAATGTCTAAAAAAACCAATCGTAAGTATTATTTCTCTGATTATTTGCGCTGTTGTGAATTAGTATGGCGGACGCTAAATTTTCTTGTCGAAAAAGTAGGCGAACAACAGCGGGTCGTCGCTGAGGACGAACGCCACAGAGGTACTAGTCTTTCTGGTATCTCAGACCCTCCTCGTTTCTCTTACGTAGGAGAGGTATTTGAACTTATCTGTGACGTCGATATGGAGGATGAGGCCGCCGAGGCTGAAGTCAGCTAAGTCATCGAGGATGACGCCGAGGACAACTTTATTGAGGGCGACGAGGAGCTCATTGTCAAGACTTATCCCCCTGTTGTTGTCACCGAGAATGATAATAATGATGAGGGATCCGAATGCCTACAGCGATGTAGAGAGTGACGACACTAATGACGGCGAGGTCGACGACAATAAGGGCGAGGAGGAGTCTCCTAGCGGGAAGCGCGTGGCGAAGCGTAAGCCCTATGCCCCCCCATCTTCTTTCTTCCGTATCTAACCCTTTCTAGGCCGCAAGACCACCATAAGAACCTTCAAAGAGAATTTCACCCGAAGTGCGAGTTTTCTTTTTCTTACAAGAGCCTGGTTAACTGTTGCGTAGCTCCGAAGACGTTCAATCCTGAGAACCGCGTAGAGCGTCAGATCCCCTGCGTCCCATGCCTCAGCGCAGCCCTCCACGGCAACAGTGACGGCAGATGTTTTAAGGGTAACGGAAACCGTTGTCTCCGCTGCTTCGGTGGTCGCTCTAAGGAGAAGTGTGTGCCTATTGCTCCTACGTTACGTGTTTTCGCGCGCCAGCACATTGAGATTATGAGCCGCCGTCACAGAGCCTCTGTGAGTCTTCCATTCTTATAGGCGTCGCCGGCTTGATATATACTAACAGTTTTTCTCGAACAGGAGATAGGCCGCCTCCGAAGCGCTATTCGTCTCGTGCGAGACTACACAGAGGACATTGAGCACGAGGTCATTAGTGCTCACATAGCTACAACCCCAGCTGAACCTGAGGTCCAGCAAGCACTCCAACTCTCAACACTTCAGGGCTCGACTGTCGTCGCCAACATCGCTCCGGTCGAGGGTTCTGCTCCAGCTGTTGTTGTTAAGGAGGTAATAGACCCAATCTTTGTCAAGAAGGAGGCTGCCAGCAACCTAGTTGCCGTGGTTGATAACTATAACGAGCGCAAGGCGAAATTCCTTGACGCGATTGAGCCTCTTGTTGATGGCCCTTTGGTGGGAGCTATTGGTAGATACCTTGATAAGCACATGAAATAGCTTGTTAAAGAGGTCTTGCAGAAGTCTCTTAAGGGTCTGAAATAACGAGAACGGTTGAGAAGGTCAAACGATGGTCTGTCAGTTAGTGAATCCGGGCAGCCAGGCCAACCACCAGTTACCCCTATTATTCGTCAATTGCCACCGATACGTACGTTTAACCGTATCACTATCTTAGTGGAACCAACAAATTCAAATTTTTCCTTGATGCTGTTTGTAATGCTAGTTGTTGCTACCTCGTGACCCTTGTGGTAAATAACAAAAAGGTCATCTACATACAACACGATAATGACTTTTGTATTAATAGCGGTTCAAAATTTGCAAGTTTATTTGTTGCAAGCGACTATCTTCAAGTCCTTTAAAACTTTGGTGAATGTAAAGAACTAGAGTATTGGCGCTTCTTGTAGGCTGTACAACTCGTGCTGTAACTATCTTGCCTTCCCTTGCTGTCTGTATCTATCAGGGAGTTCGACATACACAGGGCCATTGCCTTTGAGAAGTAAGTAGGGGATATGTTTGTGACATCAAACTGCTGCGTTTCAGGGTCGAATTGAGTGACTAGTTTATAGGCTCAAGATTGCCCTTCGATGGACCCTCAACGCACACTCCTTCTGCCGAGAACCGACTTCCATGGACTGGGCAGTCCCAAGATTTCTCCACCGAGTTCCAGCAAACAACACCCTTCATGTGCGGGCAGAGGGCACTGACCTTTGTCACGTTGCCGTTTTCGTCCTTGTACACCGCAATAGGCTTCGACAGCTTCGGGTTGAGGACGCCACCACACCCGCGGCCCAAGTCCTCAATGTCAGTGATGTCGGACTGCAGGAGCCGCTTGTACTGGCTATTGATCTGGAGGTCATGCGCAACCATCGCCGGCGCCGATCCGAGGATGGACGCCAGCCGCTTCGGCGAGTACAGCTTCGCCCAGGTGTTGGGCTGCTCGTCAATCTCGTCGGCAATGAGCTTCCCAGCAATCACACCGTGCGTGAGACCGTTACCGGAGTCGCCGGTGACGATGAAGGTGCGCTTCTGGCCCTGGTTGAGTCCGATGAACGCCATGTAGTCGACGGGCTCGAAGATCTGCCCACTCCACCGGTAATCGACAGCGCCGGCCTGGGGGAAACGCTCCCGAGTCCAAGACTCGAGCTCTTCAAATCGACCGGTGGTCTGCTCCTGTCCAACCTTGTGGTCCATGCCTCCCACAATCATGAAGTCGTCCTTTTCGTCGCACTCTGTCAACTTCACGTACTTGTACTCCTCTGCGGTGTCGTAGATAAGACAGTCCTCAACAGAGCCTTTGGGTATGCGGATAGCGATACAGTACGTGCGGTTGAACTCCATCTCAGCGATGACACTGAGCTTCTGGAGCGGGACATTGGTCGCCTGGACGGCGTGATTACACGTAACAGTGTTGCCGTTCAGCGTCTTGACCTCAACGTGCTTGTTGCCCATGCCGAGAATCTCGATGCCCGGCTCTTCGACAGAAACGACCCTCGTCTGCGCGTGACACTTGAAGTTGGGCTGCTGGAGAAGGAACTTCAAGACGCCGTTGACGTACTTTGTCGGGTGGAAGGTTGCCTGGCCATGCCAGATGGCACCATCGCGCTGGTCGGGGCCAGACGACCAGCCCTTGATGGCCAGGCCCTCCCTAAACTCGGCCTCAATTCCGAGCTCTTTGGCATACTCGACCTCGTCGCGGATGCTCTGCACGTCTTTGGGGTGCTTGGGATCGCCTCGGGGGAATTGCGAAACCGTATACCCAGGCAGGTTTCTGTATTCGCAATCGATACCCAGCTTCTTCGCAACTTCACCGACATAGTTCAGAGCCCAAGTGTGACTCTCAGCAGCGACTTTGGCACCATCGTGCCCATGCTTCTTCTTAATCTCGAGGTATCCGTCATCGAGAGAGTTGGCCAGATGGCCGCTCGTTCGACCAGTTTCACCGGAGAGAACCTCACGCGCCTCGAGGAGAACGACCTGCTTGCCGCGGGTGACCAGTTCGTAAGCGACTGAGATGCCAGCAATGCCCGATCCGACGATGCAGACATCAGCTTCTGTGTCTTTGGTCAGAGGTTTGACCTCGGGCCCGGCACGGTTGGCATGCTTGTCGGTGTGCACCCAGACAGCATCGGTCGCGCCAGAGGTGGCCTCAAACTGCTGCCTTGAAGCAGTGATGGCAGACGACATTTCCCTGCTCTGTATCCGGTATTGAAATGGTTTGGTATAAGAGTAATTGATTGATCTCGGTGCTCTGTATGAAACCGAGGAGAAGGAAGATTGTCGCGTGAGAGAAGGAAGAAGACGACGCTGAAACTTAACCGATTGCTGGCGGAGAGAATACATGCTGTACAGCTTTGGGGAAATATTGCTTGATAGATCAGTTGAATAAAAAAGAGCTTCTAAGCGCAGATTGCTGCTTGGAAGCTATGTGTTATTAGTCTTGCGCCCTCGCTGATTGGCGTTTGTTGTTAGGAGATGACACGTAGTGAAATCATCAGGCTGTCATCACGCTCTGTTTCGTCATGATATTTCCCTGGTACGCGCCTCTGCTAACCATAGCCCTTGTCCTTCATTTATGCCCATGTATTTTCCCTCCCGTTTTCCTTCCTATTCAAGCCATACTCTACCCATTAACCACCTGTACTCTAGCCCAAAGCCTAGCCGCGTCCATGTCTTGGCTCTGGAGAGATAGCTCCGAATCTGACGATCGACACTCCACAAAGCCTGGTCACCGGCATGCAACCCACCTTCACCCGGTTAGCCTTCCTTCTTTCGTGCAGCAAACTGGAGGACAAACCCATTCAATGCTGTTATAATTGTGCGTTCTTGCATTGACGTCTATGTTCATTGGTCAATTCAGCCACATTTTGCCAGTGAACCACTTTTGTTAGAGGTGACGTGAAGTGATGACGCGACTATTGAAGCAGGGGGAAAGCGTCTCGCATGATTGTATGGGGTTGTCTTGTGTCGAACGACATATCTTACACAGCCAGAAGTAGCTCCAAGATTCATAGCTTATTGATGTGAATTATCGACCCGTTTTAAGCATCATTACATACAGGTTATCGCCGAGGTATGTTATTCCCCGCCAAGTGCCACCCACACAATTCTCATACAAAAGTAACTATAGATAGGGCATCCAAGGTAAGCATACGGGAACAGTGCGTAAAAGAAGTAGTCTGTTTGTGTACCTTTCATTCATTAAATAACTAATATATACAGTATTTCGCCTATTTTTGTTCGCAAAGTAGCTGCTGACTGACAACTAGCGAGGCAGGAACATTCTCCCTACTTTGTTAATTCTTATAAGAATAAATACAGATAAAGCTTAGATTATTAAAATCCCCCCTAAGCTCTTGGTTTTATATTACAATAAATGGTTGTCGCCAACTCAATAGTAATCCTGAAGTCCAAGCAATGGTGTCTGAGTTCTTGACTATATATGCTCAGGTAGTCGCAACAGAGGTTAAGCATCACTAAGGCGATATACCACATATCATTCACTAACTGACTCAGGTGCACTAATCCAACCATACTAATAATAACGGATTGTATTGATTGGCTTGCTAGCTTCAATAAACTCAAGCATACCGAAGAACAGTGTCCTACGCATCGGTCTTGAGAGGTTTCTGTCCCCAAACCACTCGTTGGCGGTAGTAGCCATGAAACTTGCCGGATCGGGTCTCACGGCGAAGCTGTGCGGCATAGACGAGAATCTCCTCACGAGTCCATGTGCTCATGACGTTTGCCATGAACAAGACGTAGCCCTCGATGTCCGAGAGGAGGGCCAATTGTGCCCATTCGCCAATCTCCTTCTTGACAGGGTCCTTGGGCCAGTTGCCAATTGGGGCCTGGATCATTGCTTGTTAGTAACGGTCAGACGAACCCGAGCCCAAGGCTGTGACACGTACTTTGTTGTTCCACTCGTTGATGTTTTCAAAGCCAGCCTCTTCCATCGCAATCCGCTGCATTCCCTCGTCGAGGACTCGGAAAGACCGGCCCATCTTACGGCCGCCCTCCTCGAAGAACTTGCCCCACTGGCCCAGAGCGCTGGTCTCCGGCACAGTCCCGTCATCGCTCAAGATAACAGGCGAAACCTCGAAGCTCTCGAGGTAGCCGCCGGGCTTGAGGGCCCTGTACGCTTCCTTGAACAACGCCGGCCAGTCCGCAATGCTTCCGACGAGGAAACGGATGTGCACGTAATCAAAAGACTCGGGCTCAAATGTCCACTCGCGAGTGCAGTCATCGATCTCACTGTGGAATGTCAGCATCGGGATGGTAATGCTGCGGAAGCAAGCTACTGACAACTTCAAGTTAGGGGGTACCCAGCTAGGTTGGATAGGCGAGATGTCGGTTCCGATGACCTCACAGTCAGGGTTCTCGTCCGCAAAGTCGCTCGGTGCTTGTTAGCCCCTGCTAGTGCTGTCCCCTAAGCCCTATACTCACATGGCCCAGATACCTGCATTGGGAGTCCAAGTCAGCATCAAGATCGATCATCAAAGTAGCGTCAATGCTTTACCTGTTCCTGTTCCAACGTCGAGAACTTTTTTCAGCTGACAAAGTGTTAGCCATGCGAGATCAGGTGATTGTTACGAGCTGCTGGCTGGTTGTTTGTTTACTCGCCTTGCTCTTGTCAAGCGGTGCCAAATAAAGTCTGTCGCCCATTGACAAGGTGAGAAGATGATGACTGGCCAGCATTAGCTTCGTAGCCCATCACACTGGATCCGTCGAGAGGTTCGTTTTACTTGATATCCCAAGCCTCGTTCTGCTTCTCGTCATTGCTTCCCCTTTGCGATGCGTTAGCTTCACCCCAAAACGACGCAAACGTGCGCTCTTACCAGTACTGAGCATCGCCGACTTCCGCATGAAACGTTCTTCCGTGGATCTTCCGGTACTGCATGATAGTCGAGCCGATCGAGGCCGTAGAGCTGGCGGCGTCATCGCCCAGCGCAGAGTCGGCATCGCCCTCGCTGGCAGCGTCCTAGCGGCTCGTCAATAATCGCGTTCTGCAACGGCATTACGAGCAGCCCAGGAAAGGCGTCGACTGACGTGTGCCGCCTGCACCCAGTGTTCAGCGGGGAGAATTCCCGCGTCGTTCTCAGCCGGCGCAGTAGTCTGCTGTGGCTCGGTCGGCGCGGCTTCGGGCGCGGCTTCGGGCGCGGCTTCGGGCGTGGCTTCGGGCGCGGCTTCCGGTGCAGTCGCCGGCGCAGCTGCCGGCGGTGGTGCCGTTGCTTGATCTACGGGCTGTTCGGAGGCCATGATGTTTGATTTTGCCTCGCGGTGCGTTGGTTCGTATCAACTGGCTCAGGCTTGCAACACTACGGATTCAGATCTAGAGCCGCTGCGGAGCAGGAAAGGAGAAGAAGAGCTGGTGAAACGGGCTGCAAAAGTTGGAAACTCCACCACGAGTCAAGAGTTAATACACTAGACCCTTAACCCCTGTCATCTGCTAACTAGAATTGGAGCCCGGGAGCATTCCCGTAGCGGGTATCGCGCGTGGCTATAGACATACGCGCCCCTTGTCGGCCACAGGAATATTCTTCAGCATATCCCTCACCGCATCCCACCATCCCGGAAGAGGGGTCTCTTTGGTTCTTCAGCGGCGCGTTGCGACGGAGAATTAGGGAGAGAGGGGTATGCTGAGCGTGGTCAGCTTCCTGTCAGCAGTCCGCCCTCTGTGACTTTTCATTGTCAAGGTATCATCCTCGGCTCTCGTCACCAAAAGCGAATGGAGGGGGGTCGCGAGTTCTCAGCGGATCAGATCAGCCCACGAGCATTAACGGTAGGTCATTGGTCAGTGCAACCTGCCATGCACGGTGAATTTGCAAGGCATATGGACATTTTGCGCGACTTTTGATTGCTCAGCAATCCATGTATTCGTAGCGAGCCCAGGTGAAGTGACTACCGTTCCTCATCCGTATCCCACAGTGGCGCTCGCACACAACGCATGGTCGCACAGCGTGTCGTTGCTCCACGGTTGCATGAAGTGGCCAATGTTCACCACAATCGTCCCCGGGCTATGCGGCACTGGCACGAATCCCCCTCCTTGTTTGGGTCCTCCACCTCAGGATCCCCAACCTTGTGCAGAGTTGTGGAGCCAAAGACCGCGTACGCTCCCAGTCTGTCGACTTTGCCGGCACGCAGCGGCTTGTCTTCGACCAGCGGGTAGTGAAGAAGACGGTTTTAGTTGTCCTTCTGCATGTGGTACCTCTGGAAGAAGTCCTCATCCAGGCCCGTGTCGAGAGCCATTGCACGGAACAACAGGTTGATACTATTAGCGCATATCAAGAGTAGGAGAGTCCAATATTTACGTGAAAGCACGGTGTTCTTTCGGATCAATCTTTCGTCGGAAACTTGCTAGCAACCCCTCGCAATGTATCTCCCACGATCTCGGGTTCGCCCGTCTCCGATAAATGATCGGGATTGAAGGCGTATGTGGGTTGCTGTGAGGGTTTGTACCGTGGTGGACCTGTCGGAGTGAAACATTGTTGGTCTGAAGCGGAACTGAAGGGATCCCGCTTGGCCAGTGCAACATAGATAGAGGCAGGCAGATTTGAATGCTAGGCACAATTGACCCCTTGTGGCACCCTTCGTTGACTTCAGTTGGATGGTTTCCAATAAAACATGATACTGATATTGGTTTTATGATTTATTTTTAACTGTGTCAGCCTTGGACATGTACTTCAGTACGAAATACCTTGGTACATTTAAATTTATGAGAAATCGACCCCATTCCACACGAGGTATCGGCAAAATAGATGCGCTAGCACCGTGGTCTTAAGAGTAAAAAAACATCATGTTTCACTCGAGCCTCGTTACAGCGGCCGGAACAATCAGAAGTCGGCATGTCCATGTCTTTGCCCTTCCGAGAATTCATTACTAAGGGGCTTATAAGGGACCGAAATTATAACCTATATTGACTTTTCATTCCTATGGGTACGGCTTCATCACTCAAAACACTCGAATCACCTAATCACCCCTGCCCTGGTCGTCATGTTCCCATCGGTCCTGCCACAGATCTGCTGTCAAGTTGCACTATGGCGCATTCCCGGGTTAGGCCCAGAATCATGGCTTGTGATTAGTTCCTCACCCAATGAGTTGACGATGAGAGAAGACACGTTGGTGAAACTAAAGCAAACGAATACAGGCAGCTTATTGTTGAAGAATCGCGGCGACAAATATTGTCAAGAACCGGGTGGTATCGGAGTTCAAAGGCTCTAGCGGCCGAAATATCTTTAAACAAATAGAAGATGATGAAGGCTTGGTCTCTCGAAGAGAATCATGAACCATGTGCAGTGTTTACGTGGGTTCATGTATCTAATAGGAGCATATGTAAACTATCTTCAAGATTAAGAGCAGGAAAAGCTCAGTCCCAGTCAGCTTGAGAAGAATCTATGATTGTTTTCTTTCAAATGAGCACCACTGAATGGAAATTTCCAGTAGGATCTTTAGTCAACATCTCTCCGTACATGATGCCATGAATATAAGTCTCGCCTACCAGAGCGTGCGTTTCTCCCTTGACACCCGCTGCGTTCCCATTAGCCATCGGCGTGGCTTTGGTATTTCTTAGTATCAGTGGCATTCGGCTTCCCTTGATGAGCCAGACTTCATCCCCCGCCACAGCCGTTGCAGGTCCAAGGCCTAGATAACCCTGTTTCGTCTTCAGAACTTGTCTTCCGGGAGTTATGAATTGTACGATCTTGGAAATGGAATCTTCCAAAAGTTTTGACAAGAAGTCATCCTTGGCGTACATTTCAAGAGCATCATCCAATTCCATAAATTGCCCGTCGTTGGCTGCAGACTGGGGGCCTGTGCTTCTCATCCTTAATAAATTGAGCGCATCAAGGTCTGTGGGTTTATCCCCGTGATTGGTCATGACATTATAAGCAACACATCTCTGTACCCATTGCCTGGAGTCGTATCCATATCCAAGCGTTGGCTTGAGATCGGCGCTCAAAGTTGCCACAGCCACATCGGCGAAGTGCTCTCCAGTGTGCTCATAGGAGCCTTGCTGGTTGCAGAAGTCGAGGAGCCATGCAACGTTGGTGATGATGCCATGGCTGGACTGTTCTAGACCTCGTGCCTCTCCGACTTTGTCAATGAGAAGACCTTCCAGTTTGAGCGAAGTGTTTCCTTCGCTCTGCGCCACGTGGTGACTTGATCGGAGATCGGTACGGGAGGCATCGAAGGCGTCGAAATAATGACCCCATTTTGCAAGCTGTCTCAGCCGCTGAAGTGAAGTAAAGTGAATGGCACCATGGAATGAAAAGTCTGGAACCCAGGAAGGGAGGTTTTCGCGGCGACCTTCTGCGATGCCTGCCAGCCCCAAGATGTCAAGATTGGGTAGGTGACGAAGCAGCCATGTCACAACCTGAGTGTAAGCATGCTCGACCGGTATGTTATAGCTTGGCACTACACCAAGCTCGTACCTCCGACCGAGGATGCGTTGTATTAAACCGAGTGCGCCGTAGATGTGATCCAATGGATTTTCGAATTGATAGATACGCAGCCGGTGGAATGTGTGCAGGACTTCGGCATGGCGGATTTCACTATCTGTCGCGGTTCCCCAACGATGATTCTGCCAATCAGCCATTCGGTGGATGACTTTATCGCCGCTGAAGGCCGGCAGAGAATTCTGTATCGGATTCCACAGTCGATCAATCGTGCCAGGTCGTTTTTTCCAGTCAGGTAGTCGTTCGCTGAGGCGATCGTTCAGCTCCTCATCCCAACGAAACATTAATATAAGAGCCGATAACTGGTTGATACGAGACCATGAGAATTGTTCATTGCCGCATTGCAAAACGATGTTCTTGGGCTTGGGTAAGGCGGCTTCTTGAACAACCCATCCGCGCGTGAGCCATCGCTTTTTGAGGAAGAAGGCAAAGTAATCAGTATATGAGTTGCGCCACCGATCACATAACTTCTTTCCTAACGCTTTGATGGCTTGCGGATGGTCCAGCTCAGGCCCAGTCTCCTGCAACAGGGCAGTCGTTTGGCTTGAGCGAGCCGCCCTCCGTATTTTCGGGATGAAGTCTCTCAAAACCCAGCAGACATCCTCATTGGGTTGCGCCTTGCCAAGCCAGACGATGACATTGCGGGCAGCTTCGTAGATCTGACCCATCATTTGAACCTGGTGGGACTTTTCTTGGCTGCTGTTTTGGTCTATGCACATGGCATCGACCCACAGATTCACGGCTTTGGCAGGTAGAGGTAAACGGTATGAAGGGCTGGCTGCAGGAGGGCCGGTTTGATGTTTTCTTGCCCCGAAAGAGCTCGACATTTCTTTCTTGACTTGATCAAGGTAGTCATATAGGGTCTCGCCGACCCTGACTACTTGACCATCGCATTCGACATCGTGAAGACGCGTTTCGGACCCTGTAAGCTGAGCGGAGCATTCGTCGAAATCTAGCGGCCCCCATGTGTACGATAACGCCCAAAATGGTGGCGCACCTTCTAACGGGAAGGTGTTAAGTCGCAGAGAAAAGGATTGAATGTCTGAGCCATCTGGGGCAATCTGGAGAATTCGAATCGAGCTATCCGTTGGTAGCTCAGAGTAATCATAAACCGCCGACTCTTGACGAGCTTCTACCTCCGATTCCATTGTCGCACATGGGGCTTTGGAGGCAGGCACCCGTGGTTTGTAGGAGTAAAGTAGGTAAGGAATCTGCTTCTGCGTCTCCAAAGGTGGGGGAAAACGGGAATATGTGCTCAGAATTGTCCGAAGGATTTGTCCTACTACACCTGCTCGTTCTTTGCCGAATCCACAGCCAGTTACATCCCAGTTCTGCGAGTTGATTGGCCCAATGAAAGATGACCGGATTTGTTCTATTTCTCTATCCAATTAGCCCCATGCATAGTGGGATGTTGCTCATCTGGTCTGGTGCTTATCTAATTACACACTCGTACAATGATTCTCTTTGTGCAACATGGTTCCTTCGCTCCATTTCTACATCTTCATAAACAAACCCCTCCCTACTTCCCGAAGCAATGTAATCTACTCGTGCTACGTGCGAATGTTTGTCGTGTGAGGTTGGGGCGCTATCAAAGTGACTGACCAGCTCTGTCTTGCTAGGCGTGCTGCCTGGGGAGGACTGCGCACTGTTCTCATGCGAAACTTGCAACTTTGTTCTCGCTATCACTGATCGCTCTCTTGACTGTCTGCAAGACCGTTCTTTTTTCATTGCCGAATTCGTTGTAGTCAACGCAACCTGTACCTTCCTGAACAGTGGCCATAATGAGGGAAGACTGCCGCAGATTATTGCGAGATCTAGAGCCATGTAAGCTATCCAGGAATAAGACGAAAAGAAGGTTGTACATGGCTTACTGAGTTCCACAGCAGACCAAATAACCGTCATTACGTTCTCGTAGGTTGAATCGAAGGAGTCAGCAAAGGACACCAGGTATTGGAGGCGGACCATGCTGGCAATGCATGCGCTGGGTATTGTTAGCTTCCGTACGTAGTTGAATGGGACGGCTGCCACTTACAACGAGCCTAAAGCAAACATGAAAACCAAAGCAATCCTCTTCTTTGAGCTAAGTTGTAGTTTCAAGAGCTCCGGTATAGGCAGTACGATGAGGAAAAGATCTTCCAAGATGCTGCAAGCGGCTCCTGCGTAGACAATGGCTGTAACATTGAAACATCGACCTTCAATGTATCGGTCCCAGTTTGACTCAATAGGTCTGCACTGGAACACGAGCAACATCATGAACATGATCGCTTGAGTGAATAAAAAGACTATGAAGCATATTATCGCCAACTGAAATCGCCGGTTTATAAACACACGGGAATAAAAGAAAGCGATGGATGCTTTAGCGAAAGCCCTGATACCATATGGTCAGCACACAATTCTGGCCATCGGTTCGACACGTTCAAGACATACTGAACCAAGATATAGAGCATCTGTTGGGCGTAAAAGATCTACATATCAATCAGCGTTATCAGAAAGTCCCATACCAAGGGGTGGGGGTGGTTTCGTACCTTGAGAATCGCCTTCCCATTATTCGGGTCAATGTCCCAGTAGTGAGACCCATAGCCCAAACTGGAACCTGAAAGTCACAAGTAAGCGCAAGAACTTGGTGAAGTAATGGACTCGGAAACATACTAGCCAAACCAAGACCAGACGCGACGATGAGGAATCCCTAGGCCAGTCAGCCTGTGCCATCCGTCACATTTGCGGCGGACTTCAAAACATAGTTGTCTCACCAAAGCTATCGACGCGGTGCCATCGTCCCACCATAACCTCTTTGCGACCTGCTTCCTGGCCACGCATCGTAGGAACACTGTTGCAGCGGTGAAGCTTGGTAATCCGATGGAGAGAACTTTGGAATATCGTCGATGTTCTTGCTTCGGGTAACCGCGGCAGAGCTTTTGTGTGATATGTACCGTGGCTGATAGGATTCTCCGTTAGCTGCTGTAATGCAAATGATGAAAGAGGGCCTCGTCACTTCATACCAATTTGATCGGGGATCTCGCAGGCTCGCTGTACACATTCCGAGACCCGCGCTTGGAGATGGACGTTGGTGCACACGCAATTCGCCACCCATGCCATGGTGCATTTTCCATAATTATATCCATCAATGAAGCAAGGCAACTGCCGAGTTGTGAATGTCAGTGTCAATCATCTACTCCCCGAGACTAAGCGCTCCAGACAGAATCACGTCGCGGGCCACCACTTACTGCGCAGTCTGGTGCTTTTAACAGCATTGTCGTCGGCGACGTCGAGTTCGAGTTCGAGTCTGTGTCGACCACCGCCGAAGCTGTAGCGGCGATCAGCAGCAAGACGCCAGCTCGCATCGTATGCCTGCTTTTTACGGGAAATGGGACGAAAATCAGACGATCCTAAGATCGACGTCTCTTCAACTCGACTGCAACGCAGGGTGTTTATTTTTTATTTTTTTATGTTTTTAATTTTTTATACGAAGCAATAAGAAACACAAAGGGGGTTTCAATAGGACATGGCAGTGGTTACAGTGGTATTCCTATATATATAAGCAGATCTTCAGCGGCATTGAAAACGCCAGCGGATGCCCATCCGGTGTCGCCGCCCAGCGCTATTGGAGAACAAAAGCTCGTTCGAGGACGGAAACGGCGAGGTCAAGTTTTAGAGGCTCCCAGATGTCCACGCTAGTGGGGCGATCCGACAATCGATTTTGGCTGGCCAAAAAAGCTAGTAAATGGACTACGATGCCTTGGAATCCCTTACTTATCGAACTGGCTGAGGATGGGTTTATTTGTTAGTAGTATCTTCACGTTGGGCACAGGCAAATGATTCAGCAAACCACCCGCGACGCGACACCTTGGCAGTGAAGAAAGGTGACTCAAAGCCTGAGTGCGTATACCCAAGTATGCAAGTGGTGATTGCATTCGTCAGACGTTACAGTAGGTTTCCATGATTCTTCCACTGACTCATGTAATTATTGCTGTCATTGGCGTGGGACTAAGCGTGGTGTTGCGATAGGAATGGACCATGTCAATTTGCAATGTTGATCAGATCTGGCACCACAGATCGGGGTAGAAATGGAGTGCAGGACTTAATCGTTGTGCGTGTCAGCTGAAAAATGACCACAGAGGCACTCTTTCAGCTTCTCGCAGCACGTGCATAGTACGCCACGGTAGCGCAGCTGAATTGTTTGCTATTAGTGCTCATTAATTATCCATCTGCAACAGTCCCTTGGGCTTTAGGAATTCACATGGAAAACAAGAATTACTTACGACCAATAGATATTTATGGCCTCATGAACCTAAGGAAGTCAATAACCATTAGAGAACCAGTCGAGCTGGTATTATCCCTTCTAGGTTCCCCACGCCTAGAAGCGTCTCCTGCCCAATGCGTTTAGGTGCATCTGCCAAGGTTTTACCGATTAAGTACAGTTGTTATCGTAATTTCGATTAAGTAAGGTTATGATTAGTCTAGGGACTGCCTAAAGCATCTGCGCTGGCCCACTTGTGCCCCTGTCATTGCTTGGATCAACTCAGCCCGTGTCCTTATAGAACCATTTATTTCCTCTTGAGCTTCCTCAATCGTTCCCCAGGCCGAAGATGACGTTGCGCTAGATATACGTAGTATAGAGAGGGCTGTCTTAGGCGGAACAGGCCCCCTCTCTTGGCGTTGCCCGCATTGATCGTTGACAGGGGGATCACGCAGATGATATCGAATACAATAGTCTAGTAAAAAGCAAACTGCAACGCGACAATCTCGTGTTTGGGCGCGTCCCTGTCAGGGGGAGTACTCCCTTGGTGAAGTTCCTTATAAAAATATGACCAGCCAGCACATATCTTTCTGTCGAGGGATGCTTTGCCACACTGCTTTGTTTTCCGACCTCTTGCGACAAGTTTAGAAGCCTCTCTTGCGCCTAACATGCGTTGGTGTTCACACATCGCGAGTGTCCTGCTGGGCTGCATTGCGGCCACGGCTTCTGCTGCGTAAGTCCTCGCCCAACACTCCAGATGCTGTGAGCCAATCACTATTTGAAGTGAGCATTCCTGTCTGACCGGATGCCACAGCCCGAGTCGGATTCATGACGCGCGGCAGTCTGCCGACATTCTTCCAAGCTATGACTATGTCGTTGTCGGATCGGGACCGGGTGGGGGCCCGCTCGCGGCCCGACTGGCCATCGCCGGCAAGAAGGTCCTGCTCATCGAGGCCGGCGACGACCAGGGCACCTCGATCCCTTACCAAGTACCCGCTCTGAGCTTGCAATCGACAGAGTACGGCCCCATGAAGTGGGACTACTTCGTTCAGCACCTGAGCGATCCCGAGGAGCAGAAGAAGGACACAAAGATGACATACCGCCTGCCATCCGGCGAGCTGTATGTTGGTCTCGACCCGCCAACTGGCGCTGAGCCGCTAGGCATTCTGTATCCTCGAGCGGGAACGCTCGGAGGTTGTGGAAGCCACAACGCGCTCATCACGGTCTACCCCCACAGGTCGGACTGGGATGGGATCGCGACTCTGACCGGCGACAGCTCATGGAGTGCCTCTAACATGCGGAAGTACTTCCAGCGCCTCGAGAATGCCAAATACCTTCCCAACAGTATCGTCGGGCACGGGTTTAGCGGATGGCTCACGACGAGCCTGACGGATCTGGGACTCGTGTTGCCGGATATCAAGCTTGTCACTGTCATTCTGTCGGCCGCCTCAGCCACGGGCAAAGATATCATCGGCCAGATCATCTCCACGATCAAAGGCCTCGGCGATATCTTTCTCCGCGACATAAACGCTGACCTACCCGGCCGGGATGCCGCCGAGGGCCTCTACCAGGTCCCCATCACAGCCGACAGTGGCGTCCGCGTGGGCCCTCGGGACTTCGTCCTCGCGACCGCCAACGCCAAGAAAGCGGATGGCTCGAGGAAATACCATCTCGATCTCAAGCTCAACACGCTCGTGACCAAGATCCGCTTCGACCAGAGCGGCCCGAAGCCCCGTGCCGTCGGCGTAGACTTCATCACAGGACAGAGCCTCTACCGTGCGGATCCCCGATCCGGCAACTCAGGGGAAGGGGCCGCTGGATCCGTCGACGCCACAGCAGAAGTCATCCTGTCGGCCGGTTCTTTCAACACCCCCCAGCTGCTCAAACTTAGCGGCGTAGGCCCTAAAGAGGAGCTCTCCTCCTTCGACATACCTGTCATAGTCGATCTGCCCGGTGTCGGTACTAACCTTCAAGACCGTGAGTAGGCCGCGCCCTCTACGCTGAACACTGTGGGTTAATCATCAACATAGGGTACGAGACTAGTGTCATTGGTGAGACACCGACGGACTTCCAGATCACCCAAGGCTGCACCTTCGATCGCCCCGGTACGAATGACCCTTGCCTCAAGAAGTGGCAGAATGGCGCTGCCAATGGGAACCGCGGAGTTTACGGCTCCAATGGCATCAGTGTCGGCATCGTCAAGAAGTCGTCAACTAGCGAGGGCGACCCGGACCTTTTCATCGGCGGAGCCCCCCTCGCCTTCTCAGGATACTTCCCTGGATACTCCGCCGCCAGCACGGCCGATGCCCGCCACTGGACCTGGCTCGTCCTGAAAGCCCACTCCCGCAACAGCGCCGGGACCGTCAGGCTTCGCTCGGCTGATCCCCGGGATGTGCCGCAGATTGACTTCAACTCGTTCCAGGACGCAGACGCCGGGGCTAAAGACATCCAGGCGGTGGTGGATGGAATGAAACTCGCCCGTAAGATGATAGACAGCGTCATCCCGCTGAGCGGAGGCTTCACAGAAGTGTGGCCGGGCAAGAACGTGACGGACGAGCAGCTACCCGAGTTCGTCAAGTACGAGGCTTGGGGACACCACGCGAGCTGCACGTGCCCCATCGGCAAGGACGGCGACGCCATGGCTGTGCTGGACTCGAAGTTCCGGGTGCGAGGAACTGAGGGGCTGCGCGTGGTGGACGCGAGCGTCTTCCCCAAGATCCCCGGGTACTTCATTGCCGTGCCTGTGTACATGGTGAGCGGGAAAGCAGCCGATGTGATTCTGGGAGTGTAACCGTTTCGCATTGCGTACTTGGCAGTATGTATCAATGAACATGGAGCCTTATGATAATGAAACGTATTGACCCATTGGCCCTAATTGCGCCCCTTAAGTACCTCTAAAGGAGGCACGCAAATTCATTTGTGAAAGGAAGGGCGATACAAATATTTGTCTTACCCGATCCTTGTAACCACATTGTCATCTTCATTCTCTCTGTCTTAGTATTGTCACACCGCCATCCTATCAAGCAAGGTGAGAGGGCTGGAGAGGCCGGCAGGCAAGACCCTGGTGATATAGGGAACATTCAGGAAAAGTGCAGGTCTGGATAAGCGAAGCACAATAGACCAATACCGGATACATCATAGCCACACAATATGAAGACCTCCGTGACCCATCTCAATTATAATCGTGAGTAATATGTTTGCAGGATCACAAGCGGGGAGATACTCCGTCGTAGCCATGAGCAATCCGGCTTTTTAAGACGAGATTGTACTGAAAAGGAAGAAACGATGTGGTGAGACACCGGGGCGCCTCCTAAAGAAGGATTTCTTACCGCCGACTATTTCGTGGATTCTATACTCCGTATAATGATTGCAGTCCTCGGTGAACCGGTGTCGTATGGGCGCCATGCAGTTCAGGGACGTAGACACAGGGGCGCTGCGCGAGGGAGACTAACACGTGGCTGCTTGTTCCTTGCATCTGGAAATTGAGGCGCGAGCCGAGTCAGCGCCCATTTCTGGGGCTCAGGGCTCCCTCGATAACGTGAGATGAACCAGGAAGAGGCCCGCAACGTTTTACATACGGGCTCACGCTGTCACTCATGGGTTGTGGCACATGGAGCAACTCCAAGTTATACGAGAAACGGAAAGTACTTCAATTAATAAGACACTGCATCACATAAGCGGCTAATCGCAGTGTTCAGGACTCGTGCGGGCATCCAGAGTGCGACTGACTGTTGATACTGGCGCTGGCAAAATGTCAATGGTCCGGATGTCTTGGCTCCGCCTGCGTTAGGGCGGCGCGCAGACATTGACAGGACTACCCCTGTCATGTCAGCAGGATCGGCATAGAAGACAAGGCGCTAAAAAAGCCAGCAGCTACCTAGTGGACCCAAGGAGGTTGATTAGCTCTTTCGCATAACGGCCTAACACATAAACTAGCTGGACTTGAGGCGTCGTAGGCAGAGCTCCAGCGCGTGGAACCCGGCACGACCGAAGTCTAACCTCGAAGCCATTTGTCTAGCAAAGAGCCGAGAGACGTGGAAGGGCGTTATACCTAGTCTGGCCTTCTCGGCAATGGCGTCGGCGTCGGCTCTTCACTGCTTTACTAGAATGCTCAGCAAGCTCCCTTCTTGAACCCCATTACGCCAAGACAGGCTAGTACATGGTGGGTCCGTTTCCATGGCTTTTGAAGGTTGCTCGATTCGAGCGAGCCTTTTCCTTCTAGCCCCTCCTGTTCTGCATTTTACAATGCTAAGCATCTGTCCTCCGAACTAAGGGGCTCTTGTTCGTTCTCGTGTGTGTGTGTGTGTGTGTGTGTGTGTATTTGGAGGGGATGCTAAATACGATGATATAATCAGGGAAATCGATAGTGATTTGCTTAGGGGCACAATACAAGAGCTAGCGCGCACCAACCACCAGTTCTTGAAAGGTAGAGAAGCACAGTTCTTGGTCTCGGTCAGCCCTACGAACACTCCGCAGCCTCATCTGCCTTAATTAACAAGTCAAATGAGATAAAAGTATGACATGGGCCAGGGGCTGGGCGCAGCAAACTGTACCTGGTGGTAATACTAATGACTCGGATTGTACGGAGTAGAGTGAGGGTCTGTGCAAGCAGCCTGGGTCCCATGTCTTGCATCTTCGCGGCCGGCATCAATCCATCCGGCTTTGCTCCTCCTCCCGCTGCGGTGTATCCATATGACTGCATACTGCATGGGTGTAGCCGGATGTACTTGTAGGTAGAGAAACACTACAGTAAAGGCAACAATCTCAAAGGTAGGCCTTGGATGTAAAGGACTCTGTACTAGTTTAGTGCAGAGTAGTAGTTTCGGGCATCCAAAGCATTCTGCCCAGCGAGTGTGGACCATAGATTCCCATTACCGTCGATCAAAAGTCACACGCACGGATGACTAGAGTCTACAGACAAGCTGATAATGCCCCCCCCCCCCCCCCCTGACAACCCAAGAGTACTGTGCACGATAACCGATAGGGTTAGCCTAATAGTAGAGTACATAATAGGGTTCTAACTAATAGATACGTCCCTACACGTCAAAAGGGTCTATAGGTCTAAAGAAAACAGAAATTTTTATTCTTCTTGCTCTACATAGTCTAGCAGTAAGTAGTGCTCCTAATAATCTAAAGGCTTTAGGTTTAACCTTAGCTTTTTTTGACTTTTTCTGACTTTTTCTGACTTTTTCTGAATTTTTTTTTAGGTAATTCTAAAACGGCTCTACTAGGGAGGGTTAAAATAGTTTATCCTACCCTGCTTCCTCTGCTGCGCTTTAGGTTAGGAAGGGCTAAGACCATCCTTCTTTGCCTCTGTTTTTTGCCTCTGTTTTTTGCCTCTATTTCCCTTTTTTCCCTCTATCTATACCTTTATCTATTGGCTATAACTGTATCTATTGTTAACTTAAGCCTGTATAGGCTAGCGCGCACGGCACTCTTGGGTTGTCAAGGGGGGGGCATTATCAGCTTGTCTGATCGCTTGATGACTACTAGGTACCCCTGCTGGTCTATTTAGCTCGGACTCCTATGTTGACAAGCTCCCCGCAAAACAGGGTCGAAGCCGCGAAGCCTGTCCGCTAGTACAGTACCAGCTCAAAAGTCTTGTTACAGCAATAAAGACAGCCAATAAAAAGCTACAGTAGGTGGTTAGGACATAGGGTCTTTGGTGACGCACTGTGAAGTGACCTCGAGCTATTAATGGGTCCTCTCTTCGACTCTTCTTAGGGTTATCCTTATTGCTGTAACAAGACTTTTTAGCCAGTACTGTAGTAGTCGGTAATAGAGTTTTTCTCCTCCCAAGCTTCCATCCACCTGTTAGCTTTTTTCGAATATTGCTGGCCTATTTCCCTTCTGGCCCGGGATTCTGAAAGGGCCCGACTATGCGACCACAGAACTGCGCAGTATTATGTGCGGATAAACAATGCCGTATTATTAAGGGTGTGTTGCATATGTGTACATGGGCGACTCGGCTTCATTGATGGCGTTTAGACCCGTCATTATGTCTATCGATGCCCAGCATCAACTGCTGTCCGCTATGGTTGAACAAAGAATAATCACGGGTGATAGCGTGCAGACGACGCTGGGCTAATGGCGAATGGTTCGCTCTATTGAGAAGTTCCACTCACGAACCGTATTACCCGGGTCGAACGGCGGGGACCCGGCAACGTTGCACTTGCAGCCGAACAATGAAAGATCCAGGCAATCCTAAACGTAGTACGGATACTCCGTAATGTGCCTGTGTATCTGTCAAACTCGGGTCCCGCCGAAATCTTAGAATTTACCATAACATGACGTATAACTTGCACAGTCATCCATCTCGTTCATCGTCGCCCAAGGTAGTAACGAAGGTGGTTCGCTGATCGGCGTTCAACTTTACGCTTGACTTGGTCACAAATATCAACTGGGGACGACACTCGGCGCATCCAAACGCAGAGAATAACTGGAGAAATAAAAGAAAGCCGTTAGATTTGGCCAGCAGGCTTGCTAACTAGCGCAAGAATCCGTGCGACAACGGGAGAACTAAACGACGAGTGCGAGATACACAGACAAGGTTAACATTCTAAGGTATCGATCGGCATGCCACGACCCTCGCCAGCGCTGTTCCTTATATGGCAAGACTATTCTCGACTTAAGACGCTATTTGCGGAAGGATAAACACGGATTTACAAGCCAGCACTTACACTACATCTCGGCGGAACACATCAGCACGTAGCACCTTTTTTTGCCCCTCCCAAACGGCACTGCCAATCCTTGCTTAGTCCTTTTCTTCTTGTTTTCGTCTGTATTGACCAATAATCCCTGCTATTCTGCCGAAGAGTCCGAGAATCGCGCTATGACCCCAGGCCGGGCCCGTTTAACAGCTGGGTCAGAGATGGGGCCGCATTGGCTTATCAGTCCGAACTGTGGCCCTTCGTGTCAAAGCGGACGTCGGTTCGATTGGACTAGCGTCGGCTCGAATCTTGGAATCTTCCTTGTACCTGGTACTGTGGCTTTCTCACCCTGCGATGCCGTTGCCATTATTGCCCGTATTGAATGCATCCACGATTCAGGCCCTGAGCCAGCATAATGCCCTGCCATTCCGAACAAACCCCAGCTAGCGTGGATGGTGGCTTGCCGTTGGGCTCTTGACACTTTCGACGAACGCCTGCTGCGATCCAACCTGCCGAGAACCATCTATTCCGAGGAGTGTGGAACATGTAAAATTGCTTGACCCAGAGCTCGATTTCAACCGCATAATGGAGCAACAATAGCCGGACAGTTCCCAGGCTTGTGTCCGTGAGATGACAGAGGCCCCCTTCACCAATCCCTGTTGCCCCTTTCCCATAGTTGTGAAGCCGCTGTTGGACGTTCGTTCGAGCCATATATACACGGCAATCCTTACCACAGTACAAGAGTCTAATACATCGTCCCGCCCCATCTTGGCCGAACGCACTTCCCCTCGTTCACCACATATTCATGTCAGTTCCGCCGTTTCCTCAAACCGGAAGAAGCACGATGTCTGGCGCCATGCACGGCAAACCCAAGTCGAAGGACTCCGTCCTAGACCTCTGCACAAGGGCTACCCTCGTCGGAAACAACGTTTCGGTACGCATGCTCGAGTTTCTCACCACCGTTAAGCACCAGCCACACAATTTCCGGGCGCTCGCCAATGACTTCCTCGACATCTGCCAGATCCTCTGGTCCATCGAGGCGGGCCTCTCGGAGGCGTCCCGCGCCGACCAGGAGTTCCCGGCCGACATGATAATGGAACTCGAGAGCAAGTTCCGCCAGACCAACAACAATTTTCAAGCC